GTAGCGCTTTGTTCTGAGAAAAATTAAAAAAAATAAAGAAATAAGCAAGTAAGAATTGAGGGCAAAAGGTAAATAAATAAGGGTAAAAAGTTTTGGGTATCAGATACGACATCTAGTCTGGCTCTTATCTTCGAAAGGCGACTGGCTTGATGGTTTAGTAGATGAGTCTAGAGTCTTATCTACACTCGAATCCAGTGTCTCATAGAGCCAGACCCTGTCCTCCTCCACTCAACCCCCCCCTCTCTTCTTTCCCCTCTTGCCCCATGTTGTGAACACCGGACAAAGCTATCAATCAGAAATTGTGCCACAGAATCTCTTCACATGACAACAGACCAGACAGACCAGATCAATTGCACAAAAACCCTTTTCCCAACACATGCAAATAAAAAACAGCAAGGACTCACCAGCCTTTTCTTTTTCAGGAATGGCGGAGGTGCTCTGGGAAAGAGAAGAGAAAAAGGATTATAGTCGAGATAGCTTAAGTTATCTCAAAAGCTCAAAAATGCAACTCATACAGTAAAATCTATTGATCAATCTGGTACCCTTTAAACATTACTAAATAAACATTTAAGTATGTAAGGACCTGTAATAAAGAAACTATTGATGGAAAACATCAAATAACCAATATGTATGATAATATAACAACCAATAAGACAATCATAGGAACACAAAGTAGCCACACACATACAGACCAAGAATGTGGTTTCTAAAACTCCATATCGATTGTTTTCCGGTGTGTAACTGTTGTTATAAATGGTCACAACAGGTAACTAACACACCAGATACTTCTGAACAAAAATCATATCATTAAAAGTCAGAGCACACAGCACACTCTCCTCTCAGTCAATGTTGATTCAACCCTCACGTAGACATTGCTGATAAAATCACCTTTTTTTTTAATTCATTCTCATCATTCTGCGCACGTAATATTTCCTTCTTTGGCTTTGTTGTGGGTTTTAAGAACGAAAACGGCACCACCACAGGATTTCTTGCAAAAATAGAGTAGTCATGTGTCATTTCATTGGTAAAGTGTGTGTGTGCATGTGTGTGTGTGTGTGTGTGTGTGTGGAGGGCAGCAGTCAGTTGGAATGCAGAGGTCTTTCTTGGCTCTGACTTTTGACCTCAGGTTCCTTGGCTGACCTCCACACCCTGACCTGTTTTAATCCACACTCTCCTGGAACAGATCAGACAGGACAACAAGGACGAGGTACATTCTCAGTCCAATGTATTAACTTTGTCCACATTGCCTTCAGTGTGCAAATTCTGTAAATATCTATTTTTCCTCCTAATTATTCTATTAAGATAAATACCGCCTCCTCTGTGTTTATTTTCTCCCCTCAGGCCTAATTAAAGTGATTTAGCCGTGTCATGCTGTGACTGCTTTAAAGCCTGTTTACCCTTTGGCACCTACTTACACAGCAGATCCAGCACAGCCAAAACCACACTGATTATAATCTTAAAGGAACAGTTTGACATTTAGGGAAATACTTTTGCTCTATTTGCAAAGAGTTACATGAGAGGACCAGTCTCATGTCTGTGTGGTAAATATGAACCGGCCAGCAGCCGCTTAGCTTAGCATAGCACAAAGACTGGCAACAGGGTGAAACAGCTAGCCTGCCCCGTCCAACGGTAGCAAAAATTGCCTACCAGTACCACTAAAGCTGATGAATATATATTGTTTCTGTAACTGTAACTATAACTGGGGTTATGGGTTTGTCTGAAGTATCCTTTGGTTGCCTTGCAACGTCACAGTGATGACAAAAAATAGTCCAACAACTGTGATATACCCTCAAGGGTAAAGTGTGATGAGCCGATGGATGGATGGATGGATAGATGGATAACCACCTGTAACACTTCCATATGTTGTATTTTGGCTTTGCACAGATAATACAGACCAGATATACATGTTCATTAACAAACTTTAGAGTTTATTAATGCATTGGTTGACAGTTTCTATCTGCACAGCCTATCATGGAGTACAACAAAAAGAATGCAACTCATGGAAATTTCTCCTTTGATGCACTTTCTGTGGGTGATAAACAGATTCAAATTTAAGGTAAGAACGTTAGTTTTATTTTTATTCATTTTGACTTGTACACAATTAGATTGAACATGTTCTACTACAAGAAAGAAACAGAGTGAATCATCAAAAAGCAAAAATGTGACTACAGACCCTTTGCCTCTGAAAAATTAAGGGGGCTCTTATATTTTATGATGAACCACCACAAGCGTGACAGTCTGGTGAGAGGGAATACAATGCCTGCTCTCATACACGAGTTTGTTTTTGCTAACATGTTGGCTGATTAACGCTGGATAAAGTGTTGTCTTGGTCCCAATCTGTCTCACTCAGACTTTTTAGAAGCTAGTGGGTGACCTGTCTGCGCATACATACTTTATCTGAAACCCACACAAGTCCATCACTAGGGGTACGTCTGCCGAGGTGTGTCTGTATGTGTGTGTGTGCGTATGCGCGAACATGTATTTTTCTGCACAATGTGTGGGCAAAAACAGCATTTAATCACTTCACTGCTCACATTTAAGACACAAAGTGGGTAAAATTCCCACTGTGGACAAATAGCCTTACAATTTATTGCTGATTAATGGCCCAAAAAAGACACCTGGGAGAAGCCAGAGCCAAAGACTCCTCTGTCACTAAATCACCAGAACAAGCAGAACAACAACAGTGAGGTGAAATCAGAGATAGATTTATACTCAGTGCTGTTTCAGCTGTTGGACTCCAGTAATATAAACTCTGCTTTTTCAGCCAAAACAGTGTCCTTGCTGCATTCCTGTGTGCAAAACACTGTAGATAGCATGAGTTTCAGTCAACACTAACAGCCTTTTGTTTTTTGCCTCTTTATCAATTCCATATAAACTCTCTCTGCTGGCCAACAGGTTAGACACAATGTATTTTCTCTACTTTCTTTTGAACCATTCACCTTTACAAGCTGTTTAATTTTATTATTATTTTTTTTTTTTAATATTTACATTTCAAGTGGCAATGAATGGGATTGGAGTGCCACAGATAGGGTAGGATAGTTCAAAGTAAAGTACAAAGACAGACGGACTAACATTTTTGGGTTTAGTCTTTTTGTAGGAATTGACAATAAGAATAAGAATAGCACAAGCCTTATCTTTTAATTCTGCTGTGATACATTGAAGTATATACATTTAGAAAGCACTGCATCAATTAATGTATGGGTATGGATTTGTGTCAATCAATTATTTACATTATATCATGTCGCAAATCAATAACTTTTTGCATTAATTGACTGTATTAATAATCAGCTGTAATTCCACAAACTGAATGGCCTTGAACAATGGAATCAATATGGGAGGTCTGTGTGCCTTCTCTGCTTAGGACTAACAAGACATTTCAGTTCACCAGTGTTCGCCCTTCGTATTGTGTAAACACCACACCACAGGTTCCTGTCAATGACCCATGAAGTCACTTACACACAGTGTAAATCTCACCTTTATACAATGCTGTGTTTTCCCTCATAATAGCAATTACAGTTGAATAAATGTGAGTTTGAGACCACAGGGCCTAACAAGAATGTGAATAAATGGGTACCAGCAAGTACCAGTGTTTTCATAGCACCACGGTCACATATTTCCCCAATGTTTGCCTGCGTTCCCCCTGGCATGCCACAGTGCAGGTTGTCTCAGTGTGGGTCTGTCCAGGCCGTGTCAGGTGTCCACTGGGGAGCTGTAGGCTGCAGAGCACACAAGCGTCAGCTGCCTCATTTACTGCCACTAATTTACTGGAAGTGGGGTGTGTGTGGGGGCACAGGGGGTATGGTATGTGTTTGCTTTACACATGTGAGTGTTTCTGTGTAGTGGCCTGCAAGCATGTGTGCTTGCATGATTAACCACTATAGGGTAATTATTCTTATTACTACAGCAAGAAGCAAGTTAAGTAGGTTTTATAACACATCATTTCGGTTTTAGTAATAATTTTACAATTACCAAAAGAAAAAGTAGACTTTTTTCTGGGCTTTTAAACACAATACCAGGTTTGTCGTACCAGCAGAATTAAGGCCTTCACCATTCCATCGAATGGAAATATTCCCCATGTCTGGGTCATCATTTTAGACCCTTTCCCCC